CCGAAGCTCAGTGAGTGTGCCAACACTGTAATAGTGTGGTGTTTAGGTGCTCACCTGGGAAGTCTGACAACTGGGAGTATAAAGTTTTAGGCCCTTCTTGCATCTGAATCAGAGCAGGGACTTGAACCCAGATCACCCTTAAATCACATGAGTACCCTGACCAAAACAAAGCCTATTAGGAATTAGGGAGGTGGATTTCAATCTATTGGAACTGTTCCACTTAGTATAAAAAAAATTAAAGAAACCTTAGAAAAGAGAATTTGAACTTGGATTTCCCATGTTGTAGGTAAGAGCCATAACCATTGGGCTGCTGGCATAACAGTTTATCTCGCTCTCTCTCTCATACTTTTATTTTTCATAAAAGGTCTTGGTTTTGCCAAGATATAGTTCAGGAAGCTTTTCGCTTCACAAAATTCTTGCATGGTTGGAGTACTGTTTCTTATCTGACTCTAAGCCTTGGAAACCCAGCACAGGAAGTGACAATGTCCCTGCAGTGATGGAAGAGATGGTGCCCTCCTCAACAGTAGGATACCCCTGCAGCTGTTTCTTGAGACAGCATAAGCAAGCTACCAGCTGCGTCTTAGGATGTGTGCAGTGTGACATCTAGGCCTGACTGGACAGCGGGGGATCCTAAAAAATCCCTTCCCTGATTCTGGAGAAGGAGAGGAATGACAACTTAAGATAGAAAGGCTTAGGGAAGCTGGTCAGGCTTGTTCTCTAGCTATTTCATTCCAACTTAAAACCGATGGAAGTCTTCAATTTATGTTTTTGGACACTTGATATCCCTAGTTGCTCAAGATAACCCCCTGTACACCATTTCTATTCATAGCACTAGAACTGCTGCATCAGCGACCTCAGTGCATGATACAACAACCACCTACCTCAGCATGAATGTTTACAATCATAGACCATAGGGTTGAAATGGACCTCTAAGGCTTTCCCCTGGAGGGATACAGCATACACTTTCTAAACTACCTCAGAGAGATATCTATTCAGCCTCTTAAAAACCCCCAGTGAAGGGGGTTCCACAGCTTCCCTGGACAGCATATTTCATTATCATTTAAACTAAATCTTCTTGTCTGTAGCTTAAACCTACATTCTTGTGTCCTATTCTCTGTGGCTGAGGAGAACAGTTGCTCCCCTTCTTCTTTATGGCAGCCTCTCACATGTTTGAAAACTGCTATTATTTCACACCCTTTCATCTCTCTTTATTTAAACTAAACATAATTAGTTCTTTCAGTCTTTCCTTATATGGTTTTGTATTCCAACCTCTTTCTCATCTTTGTTGGTCACTTTTAGACCTATTCCAGTTTTCTCTACACCTTGTGCCCAGAAATAGACACCATACTTTAGGCAAGGCTTAATGAGCTCTGAGTAATGTGGTGCTGCCACATCCTATGTTTCTGCATCCAAGACATTAATAAAACGTTACAGTGCTGGACCTAGATGAGACACGTGTGGAACCCTACTTGAGACCTCTTGTCATTTTGACCATTTATAATTACTATTTGCTGGCAGTTATTCAGCCTCTTACATGTTCACCTAACAATGATTCTATGTAGTCCACATTTTTCCAGTTTACTTATGTGGTTATCTTGTGGGACTGTATCAAAAGTTTTTCTAAAGTCCATGTGTGTTACCTTCACTGTGTTTTCTTCATTCATCAAACTAGTTACCCTGTCAGAGAAGAAATTCAACTTTGCTTGGCAGGATTTGTTCTGAATATATCCATGTCAGCAGGATTTGTTCTGAATAAATCCGTGTTGGATGTTAATGTTCACTCCATCATCTGTCAGATGTTTACAAATGAACTTTAAAAAAAAATTGCAAGTCAGGCTTCATGGCCTGTAATTCTCTGGATTCTTCTTTTCCCCCTTCTTACAGATGGATGTTATGCTTGTCCCTCTCCAGTCCTTTGGGATCTAACATGCCATCCATAATTTGGCAAACATTATTAGCAATGGCTCTGAGGTTTCTTTAGCCATTTCCTTCAGCAGCCTAGGATGCAAGTTTTCTGGCCTGCTGACTCAAATCCATTCACATTTTTTAAAAGCTCCCTGACATGCTTTTTATGTGTGATGTTCTGCAGCCCTTCCATTTTCTTGCTCATAATAATTTTATTAATTCATATATTTCATAGTCTCTGAAAGGGACCTCAGAAGATCATTGAGTCCAGCCCCCTGCCCAAGGGGCAGAAAATTAGCTGGGGTCATAGGATCCCAGCAAGATAAACATCCAGATTTCTCTCGAAGGCATTCAAAGTAGGTGCTTGAACCACCTCTGATGGCAGGCTATTCCAGACCTTGGGAACTCAGACAGTAAAGAAATTCTTCCTTATATCCAGCCTGAAACGGTCCTGCAGCAGTTTATAACCGTTCGACCTTGTCATCCCTTGGGATGCTCTGGTGAACAAATGTTCCCCCAGATCCTGGTGGACACCCCTTATAAACTTATAGGTAGCCATCAGATTTCCCCTGAGCCTGCACTTTTCCAAGCTGAAGAGTCCCATAGCTCTCAGCCTGTCATTGTAAGGTCTGTTTTCCTGACTTCTGATCATGCACGTGGCTCTTCTCTGAACTCTCTCAAGCTTCTCCGTATCCTTTTTGAAGTGGAGCCCAAAACTGAATGCAGTACTCCAGCTGCGGCCTCACCAAGGCCTAGTACAGTGGGAGAATGATGTCCTGGGATTTGCTTGAGAAGTATCTATGGATGCAAGCCAGTGTTTTGCTTGTTTTACTAGCAGCATCATCACATTGAAGGATCATATTCATCTTGTGATCAATCATGACCCCAAGTCCCTTTCATCCGTAGTGCTAGCCAGCGTAGCACTGCCGAGCCTATAGGGATGCTGCAGGTTTTTCTTCCCAAGGAGGAGAATCTTGCATTTTTTAGTGTTAAACACCATCATATTCTCATCTGCCCATTTCCTGAGCCTGTCCAGGTCAGCCTGGATTGCCCTCCTGTCTTCAGGTGTGGATGCTTTACCCCAAAGTTTGGTATCATCGGCGAACTTGGCCAGTCTGCTTCTGACTCCCATGTCCACATTATTAATGAAGGTATTGAACAGTATAGGTCCAAGGACAGATCCTTGAGGGACCCCACTGGTGACAGGGCA